TATATATATATATATATATATATATATATATATTCAAATAACTTCTTGTAAGTATGGCATTTTAATTTATTTTTTATTTATATATTATTTAATGTAATAATGATATTTCTATAATTATGGATGGTTACACCATCTAGACTTTTATATTCTAGAAAGAAAATTAAAACATGCCCATCACAGAAGAGGTGTATTCAAGTAACTGTCTGTATGAGGGGCTTTTTAATGTACTTTACTAAACATTAATAATAAGACACAATAAATGCATTAAAGATTCAAAATAGACCGACTATGAAACACTTGTCTCAAACGATGTGGTTTGTTCTATGTAATAATGATGGTTTAGTAAGATTAAATATCACCGAAGCTGGTCACCACATAGGAGCCCGCAGATGGCACTGTTTCTTTCCACGCACATTTCTCTGCTGTGAGATCAAGCGGAGCTCATACAGCTTTCTCTGTCAGCATTATCAGCATGGATAAAGATCCAGTGAGAGCAAGCTGGCCTCTGTTCAACAATCACTCAACTAAAACCAAGACAGGATCATTTTACCAGAGAGAAAATAGATTCTTTGGGGAAACTGTTAATTTCACTTCAGCTTGAAATAATTTGAGTGTCTAGACTTTTGCCTATTTATTTATAGAGTGAGAGTCAACAAAGCTTGAATTGGCGTGTAAACATGTAGGCTATAATTTTTCATAAGCAGCTACTAAAAAGTGATAGGGAAAAGAAAAATTAACAAGGTTAAAGACATAAAATGGAGAATAAATAAATAAACAACAGAAATTAATTGCATAATATTCATACATTTTAATTGCGTTATTAGACCTATGTCCCTCTCCTAAACTTACTTGAACTCCACAAAACCCAAAATGTCAAATCCAGTCTATCCAATCTGTTTACTTGGGCCACTGACTGTTTATTATGATCTATTGGTGTCAGCCAGTGTGGTACATTTACATTTTCTCTCTTTCCCTTTCTCTGTCTTTTATTAGCCTACACTCTTAAAAATAAAGGTGCTTCACGATGCCATAGAAGAACCTTTTTGTCTAAATGGTTCCATAAAGAGCCTTTAACATCTGAAGAACCTTTCTGTTTCAAAAAAGCTTCTTTGTGGCGAAAGAAGGTTCTTCAGATTATAAAAAGGTAAGAAAGAGATGGTTCTTTAAAGAACCTTTGACAGAATGGTTCTTTGTGGAACCAAAAATGGTTCTTCTATGGCATCGCTTGAAGAACCTTTTGAAGCACCTTTATTTTTAAGAGTGTACTCTCCAAGCATTTGTAAACAGCGCGCCTTGTAAAAAATAATACAGAGATAATAGCCTACATAATAACAGGGATGCAACTGCATCAACAATTTCTAGCATCTAAGTTTGAAAACACACTTAAAAAAACAGACACGGACTCCGTCGACCCTTGATATGGACATTGAGCCCACACCCTACAAATGATCTGGCAGCGCTTTTAAAAGTGCCTGGCTGCTGAGGGGCGATTGGCCTGTATTTTTGGAACAGTGTTGAGATCTGGTAGCCTTGTTGGGACTGCTAAAACATATCGAGGAGCTCCAAGTGCAAAGAGGGGATGCAGGGAGAGGGGAGAGGGGTGAAAGCCATGAAAGACCACTGGCTCGACAATTCGATTAAATAGATCATTGTAAACTGAAACAATATCATGTAACTAAAAAAAAACAAAAAAACAACCCTCCCTCTCCCAAGCCATTTCAAATTCAAACTTTAGCACGTTTGTTTCAGTTTAACATATTTAAGGATTTACCTATCAACAAATTATGCGCGTATACGACGATTCTAGAGGTGTAACGCAAGGAAAGGATCTCCTGTCTCCGTTTTACGCGTCAGTGGAGTTTGACAGATGGATTTAACAGAGATTGAGCCGTTCGTTATTGTTGATTTTTAAAGTCACACCTGAAAGTTTGATAAGTTAGTGGTAATTGCATTAAGCGCGATGAGCGGAGGTCGCTTTGAGTTCGATGATGGCGGAGCTTATTGTGGAGGCTGGGAGGGAGGTAAAGCGCACGGACACGGGATCTGTACCGGACCTAAAGGACAAGGAGAGTTCTCCGGTTCCTGGAATTACGGGTTTGAGGTGGTGGGAGTGTATACCTGGCCGAGTGGAAACACTTACGAGGGGTATTGGTCCCAAGGAAAGCGTCACGGTCTAGGTTTGGAGACCAAGGGACACTGGATCTACAAGGGAGAGTGGACGCACGGATTTAAAGGCAGATACGGGACGCGCATCAGTCAGGCCAGCGGTGCCAAGTACGAGGGCACTTGGAATAACGGACTGCAGGATGGTTACGGGACGGAGACTTACGCGGATGGCGGTAAGGTCGGAGAATGAACATTTGTGAGTGCAAACTGCACTCTGTGAGTTGACAGTTTAAGCTAGGGGTTAGTATGTACCGCAACACTGAGAATCGTTGGTGGAGTTCAAAGTTTCCGTTTCCGTTTCCGATTCCGATTCATCATATCGAGTCTGAAATAGACTACTAAGAGGAAAAGTGCACTTCTGTATTTGCATTATAGGCTACTCCTCACTCTGTTGCTAGATTAGAAAAAATAGATTAGGCTAATTCCGGATTTCAAAAACACATGGGATATTAGATATCAGAAATAATTGTAATGCAAAAAATAATCCTAACTATAAACAAAAATAGTAGCCTAATACAACGAACGTGGTAACATATTTAATTCATTAAAAAACTCTGACTGAACGAAAAGTGAGTCAAATGAATTCAGCAATCGCTCAGAATGACTCATAAGTGGATTTGATTCATGAGTAGCGTTTGTTCAGGTGTTCTTCTAACAAATAATGCTATCTATCAGAATATGCTACCAACGCTGTATTTTTATTACTTTTTGGGATAATGTGACAGGGTAGTAGGCCTACAAAATGGTCAGAACACTGGTATTGGACTACACCGATCGTGCTGTGTGGCTGTTTGGAATGGAATCCTAGATTACTGAATACTACACAGTATACACTGCAAAATATCTGCTATTTTTATAGTAAGTGAATCTGTGGATATTATACCATAATAAGCATTTCACAGTAGTAGGCTACTGTAGGCTATACATGTTCAGCAAGAGACATTCAGACGTCTTGAACATAAAATATATACATAAAAAATATTCATATCTTGAACATAAAAAGTTGTTTTGCATTTTAACACGATTATGTGAAAATATCTTAACTTTTGATTTAAACAATGAATAAAAATGAGATTTTAAAAAGAATCATATCACTTAGGGTTGTATGCAGAAAATTCACATCCTGTGCATACTGTACAGCAATTTAAAATTAAGTTCCAACTCTACATAAACAGTACACAGATATTCTTACATGGCTAAACGATTCCCATGAATACATCTCTGAAAATCTAAATAATAATAATAATTAAATTGAGTGAACAGTCATTCTTGTTACTAGTATAAACTTGAGGCTTACAATCAGGGAACCCTGGTGTTGCCACAGATGGCCTTTTGGGTAAATGCCTATTGCTAAGAAACATTTGCCAGTGCAGAATGGAGGGTGGTTACAAATTAGTGTCACAAATCCTGTTCTTTCTGGACGTGTGGTGTGAGTACAAATAAAAAGGCTCATTCACTGTTGGCCAAGTCGTTTTTCTTTTGTTGGGTCACATTAGGCTGTTATGTCGACATCTAAGACAGCTTACTGACTTTCCTTTATCTTAATTATTTCAATTTTAGTCCTAAATTGTCAATTCTGACTACTACATATACATACTACTAATATTATAATATAATACTGTACAATATGCAATATATTATATAAGATTTTACTAAATAAATACTTAATATACTGTTCAAAATTATGACAAAATAAGTATTGTACCTATTTAAACACTTTGTGCTTATCAAACATTGGTGAAACATATTCATAGTTTTCCACAGGGGGTTTTCCATCATCATAATCTACTTTATCTACTAGAAACCACCTCCAACAAGCTGGTTATAAGTATATGCAAATATGGCCCAAACTGTGGTTTAATTTTAGTTGAAATTGGTTTAATTTTTTGTCATTTATTGTAATAAAATTCATACATTTCAAAGTACGACTAAAGGCCTGTTCACTCCAAGAACGATAACTTTAATGATAGCAATAACTATGTTAGTGTCCACACTACGGCACAATAACAGCCTGTTTAGATAGAAGTGCAATATTGTCGTATGCCATTTTAAATGCTTAAGTTCTCTAAAGCCGAATTGATTCTGATTGGCTGTCAATGTTTTTATCGTTCATCAGCTAAAAAAAGAATCGTTTTGAAAGTGATTCCTATATCATTTCTTTGTGTTGTTATCGTTATTGTTAGCCTACGGACTCTACAGTATTCTTCAAAATTTAGAACAATTTTTAAATCAAAATCTTAATCGTTGGAGTTATCATCCTTGATGGGAAGAGGCTTTCAGTGTCCAAATACATTTTGGGTTCACTGGTTTTTGATAGAGAAGGATGAAATTACACAAATGATCATACTGGTGTCTTCCTATATACTGTATCTGTTGAACTGGTAGCTGAGTCATCACTAAGTGCTAGTGCAGCACTGTGTGAATAAAGGCACAATAATAGTTGCCCTGCCTGTCCCTGAGGACTGCTGGATCTCAGACATGTGTTGCATGACCAAACCAGACCCCATGACATAAATAACTGCACGTGTTTTATTACCCCAGAGGCTGATATGAGAGAGACGGCTCGCTAGCAGTTGTAACACTGTAAATACCATTGTTTCATATGCCTGAAGTGACAATGAGCTTACGGGTGGCCTGTATTTGAATACAATGCAATCTGTACTTTAGTTGAAGGGATGATAATTCTGTCATCATTTAAGGCCCATTCACACCAAGGACGATAACTGTGACGATAACGATAACTATAAAGTTTTAATATTTAGTTTAATTATATGAGAATGGGGAAGTCCACACCAAAACTATAACAAGACACGGCGGAACGATATTGTTGAGATAACATTAATTTTTAAATAAAGCGACAAACTACAAAACTACTGCACATGATTAAAATTAATAGAAAGTTCTTGTGCATTGGTGTGGACGCCAATATAGTTATCATTATAATCTTTCTTGGTGTGAACGGGCCTTTTCTCACTCTCCTGTCTTTCCAAACCTTTATGAATTTCTTTCTTCTATAGAACACAAAAATGTATTTAAAAATGTTATACCGTGAAAGTCAGTGGGGTCCAAAACAACATGGACACCACTGATTTTCATTGTACACTGAAAAAACTAAATAAAAATGTTGTAGGATTTACTTGGAAGCTATTTCTATAATTCTTAATTGTGGATTTTTGAATTCAGCCTTGTAATACGAGATGTTAGATTTTAGATTATAAATTGTAGCTATATTTTACATTTTAGTTTATTTTTTGAATAAAGGAATAGTTCATCCAAAAATGAAAATGTACTCACCTTCAGGCCATAGATGTGTTGGTTTCATTTCATGCATTACCAATTTAGCACTATATCACTTTCTCTCCAATGGATCCTCTGCAGTGAATGGGTGCTGGCAGAATGAGTCCAAACAGCTGATAAAAAACATCACGATAATCCACAAGTAAGTCCATAATCTGTTATAACGCTTCCTCTGGTGAAAAAGTCCAGTGAAAATCCACCAACATATTAGTTTAGACCAGTTTAGGGCTGTTTTTGCTTGCAAACGGTGCTTGGTGTGTGCATATTTCTCTCCTGATTCAGACAAGATGGATTTTTCACTGCAGAAAGAAATGTGGAAAGATGACTCATATTTTAGCTGGAAGCAGCTGTTTAAAGTTAAAATGCCTTTATTTACTTGTTTCACTTCAAAAGAAGTAAACTGATGGACTGGAGACATGTGGATTACTTGTGGATTATTGTGACAATCAGCCGTTTGACCTCTAATTCCAGAGGCACCCATTCACTGCAAAGGGTGAGCTATTTTTGTGACCTGTTATTTTAAATCAGTGGTGAAATAATGTGTATTTTTGGGTGAACTTTCCCTTTACCATTCCCTGACTGATGTCTTTGGCAATATAGGTAGCTTCCAGGGCCAGTTCACTGGCGGCATGCGACACGGCTATGGAGTACGTCAGAGCGTTCCCTATGGCATGGCAGCAGTGGTGCGTTCTCCTCTGAGGAACTCTCTGAGCTCCCTGCGCAGTGAACACAGCAACGGGACTCTTCTGCAGCAGGACATCCCGGTCATCACCGCCACCAATGCGTCCGGCCAGGAGACCCTGGTCAATGCGCCCATGCCTCTGGGCCCATCTCGTGGCGGCTTCGCCCTCACCCTGCAAGTGAACCCAGATATGGTCAAGCCCAAGAAGAAAGGCCTCTTCCGGCGCGGCTCGCTTCTTGGCAAGCTGAAGAAGTCAGATTCTCGCACGTCCCTCTCCAGCAATAAGAGCAAGATCAGCTTTTTGCGGACTGAGTCAGCTCTCAGCTCCGCCGCCAGCGATGCCAACTCCACCATCAGCCTGGGTGAGAGCGAAGGGGAAGGTGAAGGTCATGAGTTTCCCCCGGTGGAGTCGGACATTGACGCCACCACCACTGAAGTCTACATGGGAGAGTGGAAAAACGACCAGCGCTCGGGTTATGGGATCAGTGAACGTTCTAGTGGGCTTAAATATGAGGGCGAATGGCTGAACAACCAACGGCACGGTTATGGGTGCACCACTTTCGCAGAGGGTGGCAAAGAAGAAGGCAAATACGTTAACAACATGCTGGTGAAGTCTGTGAAGAAGAAGGTGATTCAGCTGAAGGGCGCTAAGATCAAGCAGAAAGTGGAGTGCAGTGTGGAAGGAGCCCAGAGGGCAGCTGCCATAGCCAAACAGAAGGCTGAAATCGCCAACTCAAGGTAAGGAGTAAATTATTTAACTGCTCACAACAGCTTGTTTTGGATATGGTCAACTGTTATTGCAAAATTAACCCAGACAGAGGACGGGACTGATCTTGTATCATCTGGAAGGAGGGGGTTTATCCTGCTACTGTTACTTTATACATTATTCCACCTTAAATGTCAATTTGAGAATATAAAAAAATATAAGACCAAAAAGAGAAAAAAAGAGAATATAAAAATATACAATCTCTCTCTCTCCATATATATACAGTGGGTACGGAAAGTATTCAGACCCCCTTAAATTTTTCACTCTTTGTTATATTGCAGCCATTTGCTAAAATCATTTAAATTAATTTTTTTTCCTCATTAATGTACACACAACACCCCATATTGACAGAAAAACACAGAATTGTTGACATTTTTGCAGATTTATTAAAAAAGAAAAACTGAAATATCACATGGTCCTAAGTATTCAGACCCTTTGCTCAGTATTTAGTAGAAGCACCCTTTTGATCTAATACAGCCATGAGTCTTTTTGGGAAAGAGGCAACAAGTTTTTCACACCTGGATTTGGGAATCCTCTGCCATTCCTCCTTGCAGAGCCTCTCCTACCATTATCTCACTTACATGCCAATAAAATTCAAAATAGGACACAAAATATTAATTTGACTTGAATTACACAAAAATATTAAATTGAGTTAAAATAATTATACATTATACATCATTATTGTGACTCAAATATCTATAATTATAACATAACTGATATATTATAAATTATATATAAATTAAATAATTTACTATTTAAAAAATGTAACTGGTCAGGACAAACACGGTTATTATAGTTAACTAAAATTAAACCATAAAACATTTTTGTTTTTTAATAAAATAAACTTTATCTTGATGCACTAAAATAAGTACAACTGAATTTTTTTTTAAAGAAAACTGACAAAAATGCACAATTAAAATGTATAAAACTCTAACTAAATGTAACAAAATATAAAAAGTACAAAATATTTTCAAAATATAAAAAGTAAATATAAATTACTATCTTTTTAATATCAAAATATTAATACAAACTTTAAAAGTATCTTAATGATATGAAAATAACCCTAACAACAAGTGGTTTTAGCTATAAAAAAAACAACAACCGAAACCCTAATAATATTTTATGTACTATTCAATGAATGAACAAATGAATGAATGTTGCTTAGTACTCTCCACAAACCTGAGTTCAGCTAGATTTCCCTCTAATTTTCAGAATACACACCAATTTTTTCAATGAATTGCTAAATAACTAGTCTATGGTCAATGCTTCCAGAGAGTTGCCTGCCAGAGGATGTGTTTTGTAGGTTTTACACAACAAGAACAAAAAACATCCTGATGCCACTTTGGTGTTGGTTTCCAGACAGTCTGTCCAAATGCAAAAACAAACAGACTCAAAGCAGGCCACATGTTCCAAGCTTCTTTTCTATTCATGGCGTCTTGGAGGCTAGGCTGAGCTCCAGACATGATAAAGAGGAGGCACTGACACTAATAATACAGCTTCCCTCCAGGATAAAATATTTAGATTTCCACACACTCCTGACAGCATCTGCAGTTTATCATTGGGATTCTTATGGTTATAAACAGCGGGCCAATTTCAGGTGCAGTGGCTTTGATAAAATCTTCCCTCCTTGTAAGGAGATGCACAAACCAAAGACAAACAGCCTTGGGTTCTCAGTCATCAGATGTTCGCTGCTGTTGATGCTCATCCCATAAAAATGATTTCAAGCATTATTAAAGATGACAACCTGACAGCGGACCGAAACCAGATTGCAGACAGGAAAACTAATGACTCAAAGCACATGCTTCAGGAACAAAAAACAAGACTTCATTGTTCTCATTCCTTATACATAAGCAAAACATTTATACCTGCCAGAGTAACATTCAAGTAAAGACTGTGCAAAAAAGGATCCTGTTGTTACTAAACAACTAAACACCACTATTCAAGTGTTTTAGCCAGTGCCAGATTATTGTTTGCAGTGGAGAAATGATCTTATCATTATTAGCAATAAGAGACAGACTTCTGACACCAACCCAGACACTGGAAATCAAAACCAACACACAGTTGTCTACAGTGAGCTTGGCAGTAACTTGTCTGTTGTCACTCAGTAGAACACTAGGTCAAAATGGGGATAAGCACAGAAACACTTTTATTCTGCTTCTAAATGGTGTATGGCTTAAAAGAAACCATTACTATTAGCTGATTTTTCTTTTCTTTCTCTCTTTTTTTTTTAAAGATGCTAATGTGGGAGAAGTGTACGTATTGTTTACAATATGACTGGCCTAAATTTTGTGGTGAAACATGCAATGCTAGTTAAGGTATTTCTAAATCAAGATTCATGGCCCACAAATAGGTTGGTTAAAAATGGTCTAAAATAAAATACAAATAAAGTAGTATAAAATAAAATAAAAGTTTTATTTAAAAAATAAAAAGTGCTATAAAATAAAATAAAAAATGTTATAAAATAGCATAAAATACCTTTGTATAAAATTAAATAAAATGGCATGAACAAAAATAAATAGTATAAAATAACTTTATATAAAATAATATTGTATACAATTTTATAAATTAAACAGTATAAATAACTGGATAAAATAAATTAGTATAAAATAAAAAAAATTTAAACAGTATAAAATAACTTACAGCTTTATAAATTAAAATAATTATAAAATTAAACTGTATAAAATCATATAAAAATAAAGTAGTATAAAATAACATTGTATAAAATAAAAAAGTTATAAAATAGTACAAAATAACTTTGTGTAAAAAAAAAAGTATAAAATAACAAATAGTATAAAATAACTGTATAAAATAAAAAATAGTACAAAATGACTTTATATAAAATAAAATTATGTAAAATAAAAGTGTTATAAAATAAAAAAGTGTAAAATAGTATAAAATGACATATATAACTTTATAAAATAAAAAAATTACAAAATAGCTTAAAATAACTTTAAAATAACTGTAAAAAAAATAATGCGCTGATGGCCTCGTGGGCAGCGTGCCGACATGAAGCGCCGTTGTGCTTCGGGTGTCCTGAGTTCGAGTCCCGGCTCGCGGACCTTTCCCGATCCCCCCCCCCTCTCACTCACTTCGCTTCCTGTCGACCTACTGTCCTATCTAAATAAAAGGCATAAAATGCCAAAAAAATGTATAAAAAAGGGCTACTTTTACCTCATGTGATTCAAAGCCCTATCTGCAACTCCTGTGTCCTATCTGTACCTTAACAGACTTCCTTGCCCTCCACCAGTGATAAAAAAAAACAAAAAACTCAAAAACAGTGGCCGTGGAGTTTGTTCAGTGGGGTCCTGGTGCAAGTTAGCCACTTTGCTCTAATCCTAGTGTATTTAGAACAGCAGAGGGTCTTGTGTGGATGACGAGACTCCTCAGAGGCCGCGGCACTGGGTGTAAATGACGCACATGTGTCTGGTGTCAGAAAAGAAAGCCTGCCTAAAAAAGGACAGGCACTGTTGCTATATCACAGTAACAGGGGAATGCAACAGCTGATAGCCTCTTCTGTCCTCAGCTTCATAGACACTCACACAGACGTACCTGACGTAATCAACCCTCACATATCTATAATGATCTGTTATATATGTAAATATTATACTGAAACTCAATGTATACTCAAATCTTATTTCCGGTTTGGTAAAACAGTACAAAAGGCCTCTTGATGGTATTACAATGCCTTGCGAAAGTATTCATTCCCCTTCATTTTTTCACGTTTTGTTATGTTGCTGCCTTATGTTAAACTGCTTTAAATTACTTTTTTCCCACATCAATCTACACTCCATACTCCATACTGACAAAGCAAAAACAGAATTGTCACAACTTCGTAAATGTATTAAAAATAAAAAAACTGAAATAAGTACATTGCATAAGTATTATTAACTAAATATTTAGCTGAAGCACCTTTACCGTCTCAAATCTTTTTTGTTTGATGCAACAAGCTTTGCTCATCATCATTTGGCAATTATCTGCCATTCTTCTCCTCGCCTCTTCACCTCTCAAGCTCTGTCAGGTTGGATGGGGGCAGATGCACATTTTCAGGTTTCTCCAGAAATATTTGATTGGGTTCAAGCTCAGGCTCTGGCTGGGCCACTCAAGGATATTCACAGAGTTGTCTATAAGCCACTCTTGCTGTGTGCTTAGGGTCATTGATTGTCCTGTTGAAAGAGGAAACTTCTGCCCTGTCTGAGGTTATGAATGCTCTGGACTAGGTTTTCATTAAGGCTATCTCAATATTTTGGTGCATTGAGCTTTTCTTCTATTCTGATGAGTCCCTCAGTCCCTGCCGCTAAAAAACAGCCCCACAGCATGAGGCTGCTATTAGCACACTTTACTTTTGGGATGGTACTCTGCAGGTGATGAGCGGAGCTGGTTTCCTTCAAACATGATGCTTGGAATTGAGGTTAATCAGACCAGAGAATCTTGTTTCTCACAGTCTGAGGGTCCTTTAGGTGCTTTTTTGCAAATTCCAAGTGTGTTTTCGTGTGTCTATACACTGAGGAGAGGATTGAGTCTTGCCACACCGCCATAAAGCACAGATCGGTGGAGTGTTGCAGTGACGTTTGTCCTTCTGTAGGTTTCTCCCATCTGCATAAATGATCATGGAGCTCAACTAGAGTGACTATCATGGTCTTGGTCACCACTCTAACCAAAGCCCTTCTCCATCAATTGCTCAGTTTGGCCAGGAGGTCAGCTTTAGGAAGAGTCCTGGTTATTTCAAACTTCTTCTATTAAGGATAACAGAGACTACATGCTTCTGTGACCCTTCAATGAAGCAGAATTTTTTTCTGAACTCTTCCCCAGATATGTGGCTTGATGCAAACCTGTTTCTGAGCTCTACAGGCAATTATTTTGACCTCAGGGCTTGGTTTTTGCTCTGATATGCATGATCAGCTGTTAGACCTTTAATTAAGACGTGTGTGCCTTTCCAAATTATACCCATTCAAATGAATTTGCCACAGGAGAACTTCACTTGAAGTGTAGTAATATCTACAAGCAATGTGAATGCTCCTGAGCTAAATGTCAACTGTCCCAGATAAGAGAATGAGTAATCATTTAAGTTTTTTATTTTTAATAAATTTACAAAGATGTTAAAAAACATTTTTTTTGCTTTATCATTATGGTGTATGGAGTGTAGATTGATGTGGGGGGGGGAAGTAATTTAAAGCAGTTTAGCATAAGGCAGAAACATAACAAAATGTGAAAAAAATGACTTTTACTTTTAATTTGACTTTTACTAAAAAAATACTTTTGCAAGACACTGTACATATTGAAATGCATTAGCATTGGTGTCGGATTGTTCAGGGATATACATTTTGCCTATCCTGCAAATGAATGAGAAGACTGTTGGTATACAGATGTACAACACCCTACTTTGTTCCTGAGTTCAGATACGGCAGAGTACATGATACCCGGTTGTATAAAGTGATTAGACATGATGCTTTAGGAAGTCTTTTAGGTTTTTTTGTGTTATATGTTTGTTTTGCTGTATGTACATACATAATGAATGTTTGCCACTCATATTACTATGTATGTGAAGAAAAAAAACTAATTAAAGAGAATTTAGTTCATTTAATAATTTAATTATTTCTCAGCTATCAGTAGTCACGTAAAGGTCAAGATGTGATATAAAATGTCAGCTGATAAATGATGGGGGACAACACCATCACAAAAAAGGCTGATATATCATGAACTGTAAGTAAGTAAATACCACCCAAAAAGATGAAATATTTATCTTTCATTCATTTGTGACACAAAAAGACTATTTAAAATAAATAAGAAAAAGCAAAAAAGGGAACTAAAAATGCTTATCAGTTACATGTTCACATTCATTCTTTTTACCCAACAAATGCTAATACAAAAAGTCTGGATACAAAGTAAATTCTTACATGAGAAACACTATTTAATCAAAGTTTCTAAAACTAGATTTGCAAATGTTAATGATTTATGTTGCAAAATGTCAAATACATCGCACAAAAAGTTTGGCAATTGACGGTCATTGAGTTTTATTATTCTAACATCACTACAACACATTCTGAAAGTATGTTTTTGTTGTCTGAATGGCAGAAAATGCCATCTATCACACATCTGTCAACAAACAACCAACCTAGTAATGCAAAGCAATACATTCCTAACAGGTTACGAGTTGAAAGCATGCTTTTAAGCATTATTTTCTATTCATAGTTGTTTTTTTATTGTACATAGCAACATTAAGAAATATTCCTATTGTGGATATTCATTTCAGCAAGAATTCATGAAAGCACCTGCCAAGACCTTAATGCAGACATTACTGTAAATGTATATCTATGACATACCACTGGGAGGGTCTGAACTTTTCTAAGCATTCCACTGACAGCCACCCTCAGTACAGTGTATTTAAGTGGTCGGGCTATTTTGAACTCAGGATAACATTACAGTATGGAAAATATCACAGAGTAAATACTACATTGCTGTTTTTAATCAAACTGACAAACAAAAAGCTTAACCGTGAAGGTTTGCTTACTTCATGCATACAAAAACACTTATGCTAACTGTAAATGCAAAAAAAAGTATGAATATGAGGGGAAAAAGTGTTTGTTGTCAAATTATGCAGCTGAAACTAAGGTTCTATGGCTTGCGCTGTAGTTTTGCAGAGCAGTAATTCCTAATGTGACCAACACCAATAAAACACATGAATAATTTAGCTCATGAATAATTTTGCATGAATGAATATAATCAATGCATGCGGTAAAGAATAAAGGGTGGTCTTCTCTAAAGCGGCGTCTCGTAGCACAGCAGTTCTCATCTCTCACTGTGAGGTGCAGGGTGTTAAAAGAGCGATTTATTTTAGTTCCAGCTCAATGGGTGAAGAGGACACCCTCTTCTGCTATAAATAACCCCTTGCCATACGACCCCCAACACACTTCTTCCTCTCGTGTTTAAGTCAAACACACTATGAGCAACCCAAACTCTTGCAGCTCTAGGGCGAGTGGAGTTTCTCTCTGGAACATTCTTCTGCATTGTTGTTGTTCGTTTGAGTTCCTGCACTGACTGGGATGGATACTGCATGGGATTCTTAAGAGCTGAGGGGATGTTAACATTGCTTTTTATAGTGCAGACAACTGCTAACCCATCTCTCCAAATGAAGATGAGATGGGATGTCTTGAGTTGCTCTGGTTCTACAAGCAAGATATGGGAGAAATATGCTTTTAATAAGAAAAAAGGGTCACACACATGCTTTTTCTCTCATAGCCAAGTACATCAGAACTGGCAGTATGTTTGGCACATTATAATAGTAAACTATTTAATCTAATAATCTCAGAAATAAACAGAGCTTTCTTCTAATAGTGCTCCTCTGAAACACTGCCACAACATATTACATTTATGCATCTGTTGTAGACAGTTGTCAACGTAAAGCCCTAATGAATTTCTATTTTGGTTTTATTGATGCTATAGAAATGCTCTGTCCATATGGCTCAGCTGGTAGCACGTTACTAACAAATCCAAGACCATGAGTTCAGATCCCAGGGACAACAAGGTATAAAAATCTGATTAAAAGAAAAATAAATGTAAAAAGTGCAAAAGTTGACAAAAACAGGTAAACAATTGTATGTAAATATTATACATACATATAGAATCCACAAAATATCATATTAATTAATTATTTTTTTTAATTAAATAGATTTAATTTACTTTTATGGACCGGGGTGGAAGATCACTTCATTTTCCAGATTGCATTACCTGTGTTGAATTTCTATGAATAACAATTCAGTCAATTCTTCCTCCTTACATTCCAATTTGATGGGTGTTAAAAATTCAATTCAAATTCACTCTCATGAACTAAAAGTAGAAAATAAGTGTTCACACCACATTTTTTTCTTTTTTTCCTCTTTTGATGCTCTGAATCTGAATTCACATCAATTCCTGACCTCAAAATGAACTTTATTTACCAGTATTTGATTTAAAACCTCTGACTACATGCCTTTTCCCTCTTCACAGAACAGCTCATGCCAAAAGCAAAGGAGACACCGCAGACCAGGCCGCCATAGCGGCTAACAATGAGTCTAGTATCGCCCGTGTGGTTGCCAGAGAGCTCTCTCCCTCCTTCCATCAACCAGGTAGGTAGAAGGCTTCATTGTTTGCTAAATATATATCAACAGAGGCCAAAGGAACAGCGGCTGGTTAAGATCCTCCCGGACCACTGAGCGTCTGTTTTAGTGGAGGTTGTAGCTCAGAGAAGTAAATGCAGCAGGAATGCTTGTTAATCCAGGCATAAATTCAGATTTACAGCACAGCAGCATTCATTACAGAGCAGTCTATGTGCTGTTAATGTCTTGAGTCCTTAAACCCCACATGTAAACATCTCTGAGTATCTGAAACAGGATTAGATTGCTAGGACACAAGCCCCTCAGAAGCTCACCATGTTCCTGTGTATCTGAAGGGCACTGCTAAGCTCTTGACGGTTTTATTTTGGCACAGTCTGTCTCCAAAATCTTAGATGAAACTGTAGACGAGCATAACAAAACGCATTATCATAGTTCATTGCTTATTTTAATAATAATACATGGGATGGTAGGCTGCATTTGTTTTTGATGAGGCTATTAAATTTCATCTTTCATCTTGAAGTATGGCATTATTATTCTGTCCCTGAGTGGTTGCATTCTTGGCCTCTTACAGCTACCCGTCAAGTGAGACTGAACATGTTATTCAACAGCCTGGTCTTGCATTTCAGTGATAAAAATACAGTACAGGGTTCTTTTGCTCTTTTGTGAAAATGATAGAAAATAAATGTGATAATGTGTCAGAGATAGACAGACAGTGAAGCAAATTTAAGAATTTGAGAAAACAAATTTAAATATAGACACTAGTATACCCTCAAATATATTAATGCATACACAATTACCTCAGTACTGTCAGCACTTGTAAGAATTTTAATCAAAATTTAAATCATTGCACAGCCAATTCTATCATCCACTCTGATAATATATTTTGAGCATGAATCTGAGACACAGCAAAAACAGGCAGAAAAATAAAGTTTATATGGTTAAAAAAGAAACAGAATAACACAAATAAAAATAACAAACCACAAAAAAACCCCACCAACAAATTACTTGTTCTTTTGGCAATTGTATAATTTTAAAATAAGACGCTTCCTGAGCTTCACGAGCGCGCCGGCTCGCTTCCCCCGTCTGCGCGTCCTGAAGCGCTTGATCAGCGCAGCAGCTCCGCCAAGTACAACGTTCAGCAAAACGTCCGAATAAACGAAATCCGGTAGAAGATTGTGTGGTGTGTTCTGCCGAATGTTCAGCAGCTCATCCCTGGTAAAACTGATCGTGTTTGAGAAACAAAAAACAGGAAAAACTAACAAAAACAGTACAAACACTGGAGAGCCAAACACTGCGGCTGCCGTCTGCGGCGCCATCTTAGTAAACTTAGTAAGTAGCTGTAAATATAAAAGTGATTACAATTAAAGTCACAGACACTTCAGTCATATCAGTGACTAGAAAAAAGGTATTTAATTCTACACAAGATGAGTAACACAAGGTAATAAACTTACCTCAACCTCCAGTATTTTCCATCACATCGGTCAGCTCCAGATCTAGCGGGGGCAGCAGAGAGCCTCATGCAGTTATATTGGTTGTTTAGGAACACTGCAGTGTAATGAGTGCACCTTTGAACCTATCAAAAATCATTGTATGTGTATACTATTTCAATGTTAAATTATAATCAGACAGTATCAATCATGTCTACTGAACCTAAAGCTATTTCTAATAAAGCATGCATTACATGATGCCCCTCAGGTCCTGAGTATATGAAACAACGAGCCTTGCAGGAGATTGCTGAGAGGAATGAGAATGCAGACACAGGGATGCACGAGCCCTTGTTAGCTGAGGATTCCCTACCAACACCCCCGGAGAGCCCCTTCATGCATGAGATGGAAAGTTTAAGACCAAGCTCCACCTCTGCACGCACCCCCTCACCCACTGCAGTCATCGTCCCTCAGGCACCCAGCAAGCAAGATCCAAACCTCTTGAGCCCCGGCAGCTGGAACGGAGACAAGACCAGTCAGGGCAGTAGTAGTAGAGGTAGCAGTCGAGCAGGTAGTAGGCCAAGCAGTCGACCCACCACCCCGTCTTTCACTCCTGCCGTTGCTCCCACTTCAGATGCCACTCCGGAGGAGCGTTCTGCTCCCAGCAGCAAGGTCCCATCCCGTAGCCCTAGTCGACAGAGTGCCAAAGCTGAGCAGGGATCGGACCTGGAAATCAAAGCCCTGCAGAAAATGGACTCAGAGTCAAGAGCAGCAGAACCTGCCCCTGCTGCTACACCAGTAAGAACCAACCTCGTCCTCACCACCGACGAAGATGAACCACCTCCTCGCCCTGCCCCCAAGCTGTCCCCCAAAGTAGTCACGCCAGAGCCAAAGGCAGCTGTCAAACACAGAGCTGAAACAAGGGAGCCTGTAAATGAGCGCCCAGCTTCGATTACAGAAAGCAAGCCTGAGTCTAGGACAGAAGTCAGGGAGGAGAAGAAATTAACTAACAGAATTGAGCCTAAACCTTCACCGAAAAGAGAACCAAGCCCTGCCCCAAAAGCTGCACCAAAGCCTGAGCCCAAGTCAGTGCCTAAACCAGAACCTAAACCTGTGGTCAAGCCGATTGCTAAACCAGTTACCAAGGTCGAGGTAAAAACTGAGACGAGGCAGAGGTCTATTGTGAAAGCCCCTAGCGAAACGAGACAAGAGCCTCTGGAGCTAGATGAGGTAAGTATAACAAATCAAACCTTAGTAATCTGATTACAAGTAACATCTCAATCGGTCATTGCAACTGATTTTTGAATCCCATGAAACATCCCAAAGATTGCAGTCAGCAGACACACATATTTCAGATTTGCATAGCATTTCCTAAGGAAAAAAGAAAAAATACATTCCTTAGTTTCTTTGTTTCACTCAGTCCTACCTCAATACCCTTTCTGAACCTGTTGGAACAGCTTCTGTTTGTCCTTAGATTTGTATATTTTGAATAATCAGATCCCCGTTTTCTTGTATTAATCAATGAATCTCAATTTATTGTACCGTGGCCCTCCTATCTTAGCTTCAGATATCCTCCCAATGGCCCATGTTGTTAAAAAAGCGAATTCTTCTAAACAGCTCTTGAGTGGACTGGAAGTCACTGCTCTGGAATACCAGCAGATTGTGTTCCCTGACATACTGCCCTGGCTCCGGTCCTCTCACCACATTTTTCACAATCAGGCATATCTATACAAGGCTGAACCCTCAAAATGACAAATTCTCACCTTCAGAAAGCCCCTCGCAGTTTATCAGATACCCAATATTGTGTTGCATCACAGCAGCATCTCGTGGCTCACTGAGCATGGCATGCATGAAAAATTATTTTCTGCAATGCAGAAAAAGCCTACCTCTTGCAATTGAAAGAACAGGTATTTTGTTTCTATGGTTCCTCTAAAGCAGGGGTATTTAGTTCTGCTCCTGGAGGGCCAATCTCCTGCAGAGTTTAGCTCCAACCTACCAAAACACAAAATTCCTAGCATTACTGAAAACCTTGAGTAGTTGGTGCAGGTGTGTTTAATTAGGATTAAAACTCTGCAGGATAGTGGCCTTCCAGGAGAGGGATTGGCAGCAATGTTCAATCCTGCTCCTGAAGGGCCACCTTCCTACAGAATTTAGCTCCAACACACCTGCCTAGATGTTTCCAGTAGCCCTGAAGACTTAGGCTATGTTTACACGACAACAATGTAGTCAAAACCGGAAAAGTCTTTTCCTTGCGTATTTAAAAAGTTTCACATATACACAACAACATTTTCAAAATGATTCACGTTTACACATATCCGCGAAAACGGCCAAAAACGCTGTACATATGCCAGGCCAGTAGTTGGCGCTGTCACCTTGTTAGTAAACAGTACCTGTAGGGAAGTGACGATTATATGTTGTATATGATGCACACTTTGCTGAAGAAGCGTTAGCAAACTCTTGAGCAGCAACAACAGTACCATGTACTCCACCATTGTTGTGTATGTTTGTTCACGCTTGCCTTTAAAATCGACACGTACTGTGCATGTCTACATACCTAACACTTAATACGCACGCGCATGACGTCACCTTTTTCAAAGATTCCCCTATTGGGTGTTTACACGGAAACGATAACGGTGGCATTTTCAAAAACTTGCATTTTGAAACCCGTTTTCAAAAATATGCGTTTTCAGTCCCCCAAACGCCGTTGTCGTGTAAACGAACAGGCAAAATGCATAAAAAATTTCTAGTTTTTGGCTGAAAACGTTGTCGTGTAAACGGCCCCTTAATATGCTGTAAGGTGTAAGGGTTGGAGTTAACTCTGATGTAAGTGGCCTTTGAGCAATTGCACAAGTAAATACCACCTAGAGCACCATTATTTGATTATTTTACTTTGCACAACAGACACTAACAGCTGTGAACACTTTTTTTCTCTTAGGGGCCAAACACGATTATGATCTGCATGGTTATATTCCTGAACATTGGTTTGGCAATTCTTTTCGTTCACATCTTATCTTGAGACGACAAAGGTAAGCTGCCACCCTATATCCTACATTTTTTCTTGAGTGAATTTCATTAAAGGGTTAGTTCCCCCAAAAATTTAAATAAACCTGTGTTTTACTCACCCTCGAAGCATCCTAGGTGTATATGACTTTCTACTTTCATACGAATTCAATCGGAGTTATATTAAAAATTGTCCTGGCACTTCTAAGCTCTATCATTGTAGTGGGCGGGTGTTTCTGTTCAACAGTCCAAAACACATTAAATAAAGTGCACCCATCCATAATAAAATGTGCCTCACACAGCTCCAGGGGGTGAATGAAGGCCTCATGTGGCGAATCCATGCGTTTTTGTCAGAAAAATATCCATATTTCAAATGTAATAAACACTTTTCTATCACTTCCGCTATTTGACATACGCGGAAGCAGTTTGGGCGGATGACGTAGGACGTCGGCGTTGAGTGATTAGTGACGAACGCGGAGAGAGAACAAAACAAAACGCCGGTCATGAAATTAAATAAAGTGCACCCATCCATAATAAAATGTGCCTCACACAGCTCCAGGGGGTGAATGAAGGCCTCATGTGGCGAATCCATGCGTTTTTGTCAGAAAAATATCCATATTTCAAATGTAATAAACACTTTTCTATCACTTCCGCTATTTGACATACGCGGAAGCAGTTTGGGCGGATGACGTAGGACGTCGGCGTTGAGTGATTAGTGACGAACGCGGAGAGAGAACAAAACAAAACGCCGGTCATGAATTAGAAGCACAAAACAACAGGATTTGCAAAGAAAAATGTTGGAGGATTTCAATATAAGCCAAGAGGAGGCGGGCTTTCCTTTGCTAAAGTAAGGAAACGTTGATCCTTAAACAAACTCGTGAAACTAGCATATCTCAGAGGCGCGCATGACGCATACATCCTACGTCATTCTATACTGTAAAAAGCACCGTCCTTCGGATGACAGATTAAACTGAAGTCCTGACTCTTTGTGGTCATTAAAAATCCCAGGATGTCCTTCGAAAAAGAGTAGGGGTGTAACCCCGGCATCCTGGCCAAATTTGCCCATTGGCCTCTGACCCCATACACTTGATTGACTTCTTCACTCCTTCTCCTCTCCACCAATAAACTGGTGTGTGGTGAGTGTTCTGGCGCAATATGGCTGCCTTCACATCATTCAGGTGGATGCTGCACACTGGTGGTGGTTGAGGAGATACCGCCTTCCATGTAAAGTGCTTTGAGTACTCAGAAAAGCACTATATAAATGTATCAAATTCTTAATTATTATTATCATCATCCGCCGGAATGCTTCCGCATACAACAGTCAGCAGAAGTGAAAGAAAAGTGTTTGAAATATGGATATTTTTCTTACCAAATTCGCTACAGGAGGCCTTTATTTATGCCCCAGAGCCATGTAAGGCACGTTTTATTATGGATGTGTGTGCTTTATTTAACGTGTTTTGGACTGTTGAACAGAAACACCTGCTCACTACAATGATAGAGCTTAGAAGTGCCAGGACAATTTTTAATATAACTCAGATTGGATTTGTCTGAAAGAAGAAAGTCATATACACCTAGGATGCCTCGAAGGTGAGTAAAGCACAGGCTAACTTTCATTTTTGGGTGAACTAATCCTTTAACTGCAATTGTTATTTTTTCCCTTGTAAAATCACTGTGGGTATTATTTCACACACCGTTTTCTAGCCAAAACCATCCAGGTGAAAGAAACTACCTTGGGGAGCTGTGAGAATGCACTGCGCTCCATTAACGGCTCTGTTGTTGCGTTATCCAGTTTCAGACCAGTCCTCCTGAGCTACTCTAAAGCTGGTTGCCATCTGTATTTGGACCGAGTGCTCCCAAATGACCAGTGTGTCTCAGTACCTGAACATTATAGAATAAAGCATTTGTGCACATTTGCTTTATTTGTGGAAAGTACTGCTGCATTTAACAGTTCTGCTGAATTCTAATGCAGGTGAAACTGAATCATCTATAAGGGCTAATTGTTATGTATGTTCACAATCACGTCACATATCCTATAGAGCAGAACATGTCACTTGGCATGTAGCATTCATCTTTGGAGAATAAACAGATAGTTATGATATTACGAAATGGGTCAATCCTGTTTTTTCTTTTCAGTGCTAGAACAAACATAAAATCCCCCAGTACACTTATACTTTAACACCAGGTAGTCATGCATCATAATCTCAGATGCTGTGTGCAAAATGTCTTAAAGTCTCCCCTGCATGACAAAGAGCAACATGGCTGAACAATTAAAATATGTAGTTGCTATAAAACCTTATAGTATTTTCCATAACGAAAGTGTAAGTATTCTACAATATAGTGGAATACTTGCAACAAAAAGATGACAAGAAAGTAGCAATGAGAATGTTCTAATTAGAAAATTAGATCTATGAAGATGCTTGATTTTATTAAGCTAAAGCATCCCTATAGAGATGGTCTCCACAAGTTGGTGTGAGAGTTTTTAAACAAGAGTCTAAAAATACCACTATTTATTGAATGGAAAAAGAAAAAAAAGAGGGGGGAAATTATGTTGTGGCTTACTAACTGTTGTACTGTGAATTTGTGATGGTTCTTCAGCCGTTTTTCTGCCTGTACTAGACATAAAACAGTATGCAAGAGATTTGAGAATGTTCAAACTTATTGTGCAAATGTACGTCCCATATTTTTATGCATGTGTGCACATTTCAGTGTTTTTGTAAGCTTCTAAATTATGAACGTTATCAGAAACATTTCATAGTTTTAGCTAATTTAACCTTCATAGAGTAGTGTATTACCTCAAATTTGAAAAGGTCTTACAGAAAATATTGTTAACTGTCCAAAATGTTATTTATTGAATAAAGGGGTTTTAACATTGTATCTAGAATAACAAATTAAGTTGATTTTGATTAGGTGTATACAAGTCCTAATTCACCCAAAATAGATATTAGCCACTTGTTTCTTATAGCTTTGAAATCACTAGACATGTATGTGCTATTTGCAACATTAAATGTTTAAACAAGTTCTTCATCCATAGTATCTGTAATATTACTTTCAAATGCATTACATTTAGCTAATAAATACATAGTATTCAGCATGGTTGATGCATTGCATTACTTGAGATTTTCCTGCAAATTTCCCTCTTCACATGACTAAGTTTCTTGTGTTTCAGCACTCACAATCATGAATGGAGTCATTACAATAAAAGAAAATGCACCACACAATTTAAATAAATGTTTTTCAACCGCACAACTGTCATTCTCTTTACTTTTAGCATTAGAACATGCAGTCCGTTGCATTACACATTCACCTTTATATGCAGTTTAAACTACATTTACAGCCCAGAACCACTAAATGTCTATTTGCACTGTATATTCTCTCGTCTAAGAGGCAGACTAGAGGGAACAAAGAATATATATTTAAACGCCACCTGTCCACAAGCTTGACATTCTCCCGACAGGGTCTGAATACCAGGCCCAATTTTAGATTAGGATGGTACACAGGCCTCTTCTAACACCATTTACTCTGAAACATGGGAAGAATATTTCACTCCGATAAAGTGGCAAGTCATCAACACTTATACATTAGCTTAGGCAAATAGAAAGCCTACACAAGAAAGATTGGTCAATTAACATTTAATCGCCCTGCTGCACTTCACATCAGCCAGATTGAGCACCACTGAGACCAGAACATCCATTTGTAAAGCAATACTGCCCTCTGCATTCAACACAAAGCAGAGCTCACACTCAATTACACTGCAGTGCAAGAGTTTGAGGAAATCTGAAAGAATTACAATTAAAACTTTATTTAATTTACAGGTAAAGCAAGTTAACGTTTTGATCAAATATTACAAAGACAAACCTATATTTACACATGGAATAATTCTAAAATTCACGCTGATCTCCAAGGATTCATGTTCAAATCGGCATTAAGAACTATTAAACATGATTATTCAATTAATTACTGCATTAATTTCTATTAAAAGAAATTAAACTCTAGTGGCAGTTAGGGATGCAACGATTATAGATTTTGTTGGTACGATTATTGTCTGAGGAATAATCACGGTTTTACGATTATGACGATTATTATGCATTTATTCATTTCCCAACATTCCTAATGTATCCACCTTTTCATTGTTGTATAAATGGGCGCGGCCATTTGTAAATTCTATGGGTCTGGCTTCCGGTCTCATCTGCGTCCAGCTATTTTTAGCTGAACAAAACCGGTTCGTTTTGCTGCTTGATATTGAAAGTTGGTGCGTCTTATATTATTTTAGTGTATTATCTTAATTATGAACACACTGGTTTGTAGTGCAAACAGTTTTACCGGCTACTACATGTTGTTATTCTCCTCGTTATTTATCTATAGCGGCTAATGAACCGGAAGTCTCACCCATAGGCTTACTTCCGCGTTGAAGAAAAAGGTGGATAAAATCACATGAACACTCTTTAGATATTAAAGTGTTATTTATTGCTGGCTTTTGAAACAGAAATAACACAGTAACCAA